TGGCTCATCATATTGTATACATTACATCAAATTTGGTAACCTTTAGTAGAAAACAACTCAGCATACCCTGGACTGCTAATAATTTCACACACTTTTCTGCTTCAATATCACTTTCTTAATCACACATACTTCATCTCCATCTTCCTCTCTGATTTGCCACAAATTCCTTTGGAAAGTGAAGTAGTTTTTGGTTACAAATGAGACAAAACGATAATCACATGCAAACCAACATAGTGAGGGAGGATGAAATTTATCGAAATACTGATTGTACTCAAAGAAATTTTAAAACATATACATATATATATGCATAGTACAGTCAAACCTGTGTAAGACGGCCACCCACTGTCAAGGAGAAAAGTGGCCGCATAAGACAGGTGGCCGTCTTAGGCAGGACTGATCAAGATAAAGAAAACAAACCATTCCCATCTGAGGCCCCAATCGAAAGTAGCCCCATTGTTGTTGTCTTTGTTGGTGTCGTTGCTGTTGGTTTGTATTTCGTTTGTAATTTTTATTTTGTCGCTGATTTTGCACAATAGTGACAATGAAACGAAATGTATCAGACAAGGAAGACCGAGTGCCATATTAAAACAAACACATGGGTCGCCACCACTTGGAGAACGAGGGACGCTTCTGTAACAAGTTCATGTTGACGTCCTTTGTTACTTTGTTACAGACTGGGTAAACAGTAACCACTCATCTCACTTACGATTTGTGTATGAGTTCTGGGCGGGGCTTATGGGTTATGAGGGATCACACGCTAACTCACCTGCAGCTGAAAATTGGCAGCTATTGGTCAACAGTGGGAGGGGCCTACGCAACATGATCGGTTGGAGGGACTACCTAACAACAACGACAGGTGATTGAATTAAGACGGCTCGCCCACAACGCCAGGGGCCAATGCACAATTTATGACAAAACGTAATGGATTCACTAAGGTGACCGTCTTAGACAGGTATTATTGCTTAGTATTATAGGGGTTGTGTGTTAAATTTTTGTGGCCGCGGCCGCGTTGGACAGGTGCCCGTTTTACACAGTTAAATTATATAGAAAAAATGCAAGGGGGGAAATGGAAAGTGGCCATTTGTACAGGTGGTCGTCTTATAGAGGTGGCCGTCAGGGCAGGTTCGACTGTACTATGTTTTCGTACACACATGTTCATTAATTTTTAAGGTGTGATATTTTTATTAATGTAATGCGCATTGAGCATTTTTGAGAAAATGGAAATGCACAGCAGAAATGCTATTTAATTACTATTTATTATTACTCAAAGAAGTAGCCACCCCTCCCTCCCACTTTCATAACCCCTTTCTTTTTTTTTTCTTCCTTATTTGCTTTCCATTTAATTGAGCCTTCTCCCGACAGTGATAGATGCAATCAACCTAATGGCAAGCCTGAGCTGGCAGTGGCATTGGTAGTCTAGCCTCTACCTCAGAATTACAAAGTTTTCTCCGACATATTTGGCCGTTTTGAGTTACTTAGACCACGAGGTCAGAAACCAAATGTTCTATCTGCTCTGTCCAAATTGTAAGATTTCTTGAAGTCGCTACCAAGATATTCAAAGAATTACATTCGAAAAAGATTGACTTAATGTGAAACTCAAAATCTTTGACATCAAATTTCTCAAAATTAGGCACTGAGCGAATAGAACTTTGTAATTCTGAGGAAGCGTGGTGGTTAGGCTATTGGAAACGTAATCGTGAGATTGCCGGTTCAGGGGGTTTGAGGTTTAGGTCAATCAAATGTTATGTCCTTGGACCATTTTTTCCCCATTTGGCTTGTTCATGTTATCAGAGACGGATGTTAAATTCGCAGGTCCTGTCTTATAAAAGTCTTCAAAGTGTTGCACAGGGGAGTTAAATCTTTGCAATACTGAGCTGGCCCAGCTTTTATCACTTTCCACCCACGCAGCGTGCAGAGGGCACAACACTTGTCCCCACGGCCCAGGATACAGATGCGGTACATCAGTACTACACCTGCGTCTCGGCAAAAAGTACTCCAACTAAAATGAAATTTTCAGCTTTTTTGAGAAAAATTAAAGTAACGATCACATGTTCACCAAAAAGGGAATTAGAATCAGAACTGAAAACATTAGATCAAGCTCATTCATTACCCGAGTTCTCATCATGGCATGAGAGTAAAGCAGCACTCATGCTAGGTGTACTCGACATTTTTAAAAACAAATTTACTCGAATTGTTGTATACAAACTGATTTTCGACCTCAAAGGCTACACAAACCAATCAGAAAGGAAATTTAACTTAAAAAAGTGCGCATGCCAAAAAGGAGATCATTGCTGCAACGTTTTTGTAGCTACATCACAGCATCACCAATCACCGTCCCGTGGGGGCAAGGTGTTAAGTGCAAAGTAGAGCATGCTGCAGACAATGAACAATGAAATGTATTCATTACACTGTATTTAAATCAGTCTTCTCTCAGTCGTTCAGTTTTCTTTTTTTCCAACAGCATATTGAGTACTTTCAAGATATGAACTTAACAGAATTTTTCCTCTTTAAAACAACAATTCTGTGGTCATTCCCCTTGTTGAAATGCTCTGCTCTACTAAACTTTCAAAATTGAAAATGTTTCACAACACATACTGAGTTGAATGCAAGGGACAAATTCAAAATTAATCTTTGGCATCTTGAGTAAAAATATGAAACAGAATCTTTCACAACAGCGTATGGCTGCCTGAAAAGCAAATAACATTATGCTGTAGTTGGAAAGTCGGTGGATTGTATATACAAAAAAAGTTGCACTGTGGCTTAAATAATATACAGGTGGTTAGCCTTGAAGCTTACTTTTGCAAGAGAGCACAGAAGAAAAAGAAATGCAAAAAAAATTTGTAAAAAAAAAAAAAGTTAACTGCATTAATTGCGTAGGAATCAAATGTAACTGGTCTTTTTCGTAGCAGATGTAGCTTGAGGGTAACATACATGAACCTCTTCTGGCCATTAACTTTTGAAACACAAATGACAACTCTAAATGATTAACAAACATTAATCCTGAAAAAGTTAACAAAATCTGAAAATGTCATCTAATTTCCAAGACACCCAAAAACAGAGTATATCATTAAGTATCAGCTCGGAAAATCACTCAGCTGCAATTCGACTCACATGGACACGTTGCAATCAACTAGATTTCTTTTTTAGCCACAAAAACCAATGTAACATCCAGGAGTACACTATGACACTGTGAGCAAATTTACCCCCCCCCCAGAACATACAGGAATTAACAACAAAACTGGAAACATTAATTAAATCAACAGTGTAAGGAACCAAAGGAACAACCTGATCATTCATTTCTTCAATAATGCTGTAGAATCCTCTTATCAACCACCAGACATCATAAAAGGGAGCAGGTCATTAGACCAATTGACTATAGCACCTTGGTTATGGTAGATTCAGGTACACATATGTATCGTTTCCCTGCTTCATTGCATACATCAAATGAATAGAAAAAAAACAAAAACAGAGGGGCGCAACCGTGCCATGACTTTTCTACAAAGCGCTCACCACTGGTATAAATTGAAACTATTCTTAGACCTTATAGCCTAAAACACAACAAGTGTGAGCAGATTTTAAAAATATTATCTTGCAAGAAGTGTAAAATCATAATCCCTTTCAAAATGAAATGCCAATTGGCCCCTCTAAAAACTGAGAAGCAGGCACGGGAAAGTAATTAAATATTACTGAACTAGGACCCTTTGGTCAAACTGCAAGATCACAACTTAAATTATATACTTCTCGAAATATCTGATGGTAACCAAACACTAAAGAGATGCTAAAAAATAGCTGTAAAAAAAAAGTTGGTTGAAAGTCCTGATGTCTTATGCCCCAGTCATGTGCAGGATACTGAACTCTCAATGGAAGAAAGGGAAATATTCATTAACAATGGGGCCTAGTTGTTTGAACAAACCATAGAGTCAGTAATGTCCACAGTAGACTACTACAAGAATGAGTAAAAAGAAATCGATAGTCCAGAGAAATTCATAAGCTTAACAAGGCTCGAAAGCAGTTTTAAATACAGGGCGAGGAATAAAATAACTTTCAGTGTTCACTCGTTCCACACCATTCTTTAAAATAAATAAAAATGGTTTTTGCCTTAGTATTTATTTTTTCAACAATCTCTAGATCTACGAGGGCTGTCCCACGGAAAACCGGAATTTGGCTGTAATTTGAAAACTATTCAATAATTTCACATTCTGTAAACGCACACTTGTAAAACAATCATTTACAAATTTCCCGATTGAGCACCATGAGCATCGCACAAACCAAACGAGCACAGCAGTTCTCAAAAGATGGCTACCCCCTTGGAAAATTGGTCGAGGGTAGAAGTGAGGTCTGTCATTCGGTTTCTGACCGCAAAAGGTCTCAAACCTCTAAAAATACACACTGAAATAAAGTCAGTTTATGGGGAGAAAGTAATGGCAAAGTTACAGGTATATGAGTGATGTAGTAAGTTCAAAGCCGGGCACTCCGATATCAATGACAAAGTTTACCCATGATCTTGTTTTTCTGCCAAGACTAAGGACAACAAGAGTCGCGTTAACGAACTTATTCAAACAGACAGGCGCCTAAAAATTCGCGAAATTTGCGAGTCGCTAAACATTTCAAAGTCGACTGTCTATAGGATAGAGTTTGATGAGCTGCACTATTGAAAAGTCTCTGCTTGATGGGTTGGGGCCGTTTTGCAGCATGGCAACACAACGCCACACACCGCAAACATCACGAAAGACTGGTTCCAAAGGTTCGGTTAGGAATTTCTACTACACCCCCCTCACAATCCTGACTTGGCCCTGTCAGATTATCACCTTTTTGAACCAAAGAAACGCCATATTTCTGGACAGCGATTCACTGACGACGAAGACCTCGTGGAAGCCGTGAACGATTGGTTGAAATCCCTTGACGAAAGATTCTTCAGGGAGGGTATCTTCTCCCAGATCCAGCGATCGGAAAAATGTGTCCAGCGGGATGGTGATTACATTGAGAAATAAAGCACATGTTGAGGTATGATGTGTTACAGTTTTATTATAATAGGACAAAGATTTTTGCTTTTACAGACCTTTTCCTGTTTTCCGTGGGACAGCCCTCTTAGTTAAAAACAAGCAATATGCTGTGTCATACATTTTGTCGCCTCAAAGCTATTTCATCCAATGTGCCTCTTTACTTAAGTACACTTTGGACAAAATAGTTCTGAGGCTACGATTTGTGAAATAAAAAGAAAGTTTAAGGTCTGAATTTTAGAAACTAAAAGTTTTAATAATCATACCAAAAATATCTAGTAACGATATTTGCCCCCCACATACTACTTTTGAATTTCTACCATGGGCAAGATGTCACAGGTCACAACCTTTAATCAACAGTTGCTCACTTGTTATAGGAGACAGATAAGTAAAACTTATACCAATAGAAAGAGAAATGAAGAGATGAATTTATCCATTGACAAGACCTGATTAAATCAAGCTCTAACAATGTAAACAGCTTGAAAGTACTGAGACTGCACGAGCACTCTGATTCTACAGGTTGGCCCTGTCTTGCATGTGTGTGAGAGAGACAACACCCCTCAGTTTGTTTTCTTGGTAACAGAGCTCAGGCTACCCATCAAACTATATATCAATAGAAATAGAAAGATGGTTTTATTCGAAAACAAAGCTCGGGAAGAACAAGCCATAATGATAGTAAACAAGATTAGTATAAATACTGAGACTGAACAAGCGTTAGGAGTCAACGAAACACACAGTATAGTCTCTGAAAGGGATGTTTACACCACAATAGGCTGCGGATTATCAAGACATAAGAGATATAATATGTCTACAGCACAGTCAAGAGGTTAAAAAAAAAAGTAAAGACCTCATTCAAAAATCTTTAATATTTACCACATTGCCACAAACTGATGGAACATCATCTTCACTATTGCAAGAGTTAATATTTTGTTCTGTATGTGGTATGAGACATGTATTTACTAATGTCCTGTCTACCTGAATCTAAAAATCGAGCTGGCTATATTCCCAAGGCAAACAAAAAATAAAAGTCCATCTGCGAGGCTCAATATCAATATCAAATCATTCCAAAACTAAAAAATTATCTACATGTAGTCCCTTAAACAAATATTAATACCTCAAACAAGGTGATACTTAAATTCAGAATATGCAGAGGAGAGGCAAATATTAAGACATTGTTAAATAATGTAGCCAACTATATTTGAATATCGTAGAACAAATATCAGAAAGTAACTGGATTTTTAAAAAAGTTCCACCCAGATACAACATGCAATATGAGATCCTCACTTTCAAACACATTTAAACAAATCTGGATATGATATAGACTTGATAAAAATAAATGTCAACATTTTGATTTGAAATATACAACAAAATTAACAAATCTGGCTATTAATTTAGATAACAGAATTTTCGAGATGCTTTACATCAAAGTACAATCTGAATGCCGCACATCACGTTACAACTTTGACTGTGCTAAAGACCTACACCGGGACAAGGCTTTGTCTTTTGATGTTTCTAAAGTGTTGGCAACAAGACGGCACACCTGAGCCATGTGATCGACAACATGAAAAGGAACAAACTTGTTGACGGGCAAGTACACAACATGACTGATGAGGTGTTTAGCATTGTGTGGATACCTCTCGGAAGCCGTCACAAACTGGCCGGACATAAGATTGGGTCCCAGATCACTGTCGGGGTCATCTGGTTCCACAATGTTGAGCTGTGTGGCCCCGCGGTATGAGTCGATCCCAAAGACACCGAGGCACTTGACAAAGAGATCTGGGTCTTCCTGAAACAGAAAAGATTTACAAAATAATTATTAGAAAAAAAAAAAAAAAAAAATGTCATAGCAATTTTACCATTTGTCTCTACGCAAATCATATCATATCAAACTTGATCTTTATTTTTCTTTTTTTACTTACTATTTATTATATAAGAATGTCATGCCCATACTTACAGCCTGCTTTGTACTTGGTGTTATTTTCTTTAAAAGACCTCAAGCTAATAAGTCACCACACTTTATGACGAAGGAAGAAAAAAAACAAGACAGAAGTAAATGTAAAATTTCCGCTTTGCCTTCTGTCACCTTTCAGGAAAAAACAGAGAATGAGTAACTACAGAATGGAAGAAAAAAGCACATACGGCACACATTCTACACAGAGTTGAACCTGCTCGGATGGCCTCCTGTCAACAACAACTGTCTGTAACTGTACAAATGACCATTCCTCCCCCTACCCCCACCCTTTTTAAAATTAAAAGGCACTATCCAAGACGGCTACCTGTGGGTGGTCATCTTAGACAATTTCCAATTAACAATCTGATCTCATGACATGAGGGAGTTTAGTATATTTACCACTGCCTTTAACAATCTCAAGACATGAGTGAGTTTATTATATAACTACAATTTATCATAATAAGCAATTTAGGTATGTGTGTGCACGATGAAATGCACAAAAACAACAAAAGCAATAACAACAAAGTTTTTCACTTTTTAGAAAAACACTAGAAAGAGTAAAAACACACTTCAAAAACAGTGACGTACAAACTGATATAATGCATCTACTTACTGCAATGATGGGAAACAGCCAATAGTTGTTTACTTTCACTTTAGTCCCTACCACTGTCAATTCAGAGTCAAGTTTTGATAGAAAATAATCTGACTTAATCCGCTGTAGATCAAAGTCTGAGGTGTTGAAAGACTGATGTCTCCAAGCCATTACTGCCAATAGGGCAGTGCTGGGCTGGGTGCGAATGTTTGCTATAAGGTTGTCTGGAAATCCACGGATAAATTTTACAAACGTATCTTTCCAGTCCTTGCCCAACTGCCTGGAAATCTGTAACATGTGAGGGAACGGCCATACTTGAACCATGCTGTACAGCACAGAATATTTCATGAGTTTCTTTAAATACATAGCTCCGCTTTGGACAGGATATTCAGAATGCAGGTCACGCATTTTGTTGTAATTGTCATAGTCCTTCACTTTGGCAATACCACCCCCAAACGATGTGCAGAATTTGATGACGCCAAAACTGAAGAGAGTTAAGTCTGACTGAGGGTGGCCCGTCCTATAAAAGCCACAGAAGCCTTCAGCGCAGTCTTCAATCAGCAAGAGTTGGTACTTTTGGGCTAGAGCAGCGAAAGGATCCATGTCTATTAAGCGGCCATACAGATGAGCCACCACAATGGCGACTGTTTTGGATGTGATCAGCTTTTCCATCAAGGCAACTTTGGGTTCCAGAGTATCCAGATTGATGTCTACAGGAACTATTTTGAGCTTGTGATGCCGTACAATGAAGGGCATGTCCTGAAACAGAAATAATAAATTCTAAAACAAACCAGTTAAAAGGTGTCTAACAACTAGAGGGAAGAAAAAAGGAAACTAAGACATTTAAAAAAGATGAAGCAGTAAACCACAAAGATAATTGAAATACTTTTTGAAGAACAACCTTACTGTGCTGGCCAATAATTTTTAAAGTATGATAAAGTTTGCTAAATAAATACATAAAGTATTATATTACTTCCAAGTCATGAATTTCCTTGACAGAAAATAAGACTAAGGTGATGACCTTTCTTGCTCAATATTATAATTCATTTCTTCAAAATTTAAAAACATAAAGAATGTAAAACTTCATCCTTTTTTTTTCTCTACTATGGGAATGAAATCAGGAAGAGACCTAACTGCAGGTGTCTGTGTTGTTTATCCAAAACCTTTCCATCAAGTTTATGCAAAAACATAGGAAGCAACTCTCAGGGCTCAAAGATAGTTTGAACAAAATGAGTTGGGTGAAGTGAATGAAACCTCTTCACAAAAAAAAATAGACTGTGAGATGGAAAGAGAAGATTATTTACAAAGTTCTTGCTGGAGTAGCAGATATTGAGGTACAGAAAAGGGGGAAGACATGGAATACCATCAAGAGGCTAACCCAAGATAGAGAAGGGTAGAAAGTGTTTGTCCGTTGCCTATACCCTGGTGCAGGGTGAGAAAAGCAATGATGATGATGATGCTGAAGTAGACACTGCAAAGTGAGACAATGTGTGGAAAGGATTTAAAACTTAGATGGTGGTATCAGACAAATTCAAATTATACTAATGCACTATCAATAAAAGCTATCACAGAGAAGGAAAGATACCAACTGGAATGTTGACGGCTGACATGATAACTTCTGAGCCCTCAGGAAAGGTCTTGATTCTGAGGAACAGGTCAAAAGCTGCCCTGACGCAAAGACAAGGCAGAATATGGTGTGGATTTGATTCTGAGGTCCACAGTTTCTTCAGTCGTGATATGTGTGCTTTCCTTGCGCTCTGACAATGTGGTCGACTGGCCTGCCGTACAGCAAAGGCAAGATCAGAGGCACAGCTGTCTGTAAACATAGAAAAGAAATCACAGGCTAAGATAATGTTCATATAGTATCATTGTTTGACACAACTTCATTAATCACAGGTATTTACAGTGTAACAAATTTTAACTTCTTACTCTGCAATATTTTCTTAAGCAGACAAGCAGTGAACTAATTTCTATTTAATCATATTAGAAGTCAATAATGCACAGTAATACCAAATGAAAAGAAATATTTGATATGAAAAAAAGAAACCCAAACATAACAAGAGTAGGCTTATAAATATACTGCTCTTCAGGTCTCACCAATTATAACAGCACTGTATGGCACTATTGGAAAGGCCATTCTTGGAGATTCAGTTGGATGATTTTCTTTTAATGTTTTGCACCAAATCGATTCCCAAACACTTTGTCCATCAGTAATACACCTTTACCGGTGTCACTGCAAGTGGTGCATGAAATAATCACATTCTGAGGATTGAAAATAAAACAGTTGTTAAGAAAAACAGTACTTCAAAAGAAATGAAATATGAGGATATAATTCTGCATAAACAAAGCTGTTCCACACACAAAACCTAAAAAAATCCATTAGCAGTCATAAAGCAACTGTTCATTAAAAATTTTTACAACTCAAACTTGCTCCATTCACAGAATAAACAAACTTTCTTCTTTTTGACAACAAACAAAATGTGATTGCCAGATTCATTTGTACTTGCATTGACATTAGAATTGTAAAAATGCATAGAGTGATATTTTGCTTTTTTCTACAGTTTTGTTCTTTTAGATACATGGCTCATCAAATTTTTTAAAAACATACTGTACAATGAGGAAACAGCTACCACCACACAAAGTGAAAAACATGTTTGCACTTGCTCCTCATAATATTTCCAACAGCTTCATATTTCTGTCCTCCATAAGCCAAGCCATAGAAATAGAAAACAGCTAATCAGCGTGATAACAGACATATTTCACCTAGAACAGAGATAAGGGAGTCAACTTTCAAGCTTCACTGGGAGAATGTTCAGAGGTAATCAGAAAGCAGGTGTCAGCGTCCAACCAATCAGAAAAGATGGAAAAAAGAAAGGCGAGTTCATCTCCATTTCCTGCTCCTTCTAATTTCTAATAAACTTTGAACCATATATTTTTTTCTCTTTTATCTCAAATTTCTTGACCCTGTCAGTCATAATTATCTCTTTGCATCATATTATACACACATCTACATGGTGGGGAACCTTCTTATCCACCCAGTCGTGGAAGCCTAGTTTTTCAGCATCACTTTTTAATTCGTGGCCTAGAGGTAAGGCTCTTGGACTCGCAACCGTAAAGTTGTGGGTTCGAATCTCATTAGGGGGACTGACGTTGTGTTCTTGGGAAAGGCACTTTACACAAATTTTCCTCACTTCACTCAGTGGGAATGGGTACCCAGCAAAAGACAGCGAAAGATCTTGTCAGCTTGTTAGTGTTTGAGCGCTTAATAAAATCAGCTGCTTGCACTGTATGTTTCCCGGGAAGCTGAGAATGTGTCTAAATGTTCTATGGTCTGCTGGGGTAACAATATAGCGTAAAGTGCACAGAGCGGGGGTATGCACAATACAAATCCTATTTATTTATTATTTTTTATTACAATTATTATTAAAATCCTTAATATGGACAAAGTATCTGATCTAGTGACATCAGTTTAAAGTACTAAGCCTTCCCTACTAGGCCACAAAAGAAAGGCTCAAAAAGTGAATGGACAAAGGAATAGGTAGGTAGATAAACAGCATGCCATTGTTGTAAGTGAATTGGTGGATGTGGTGGTATTTACATAGGTAGGTAGGCAGGTAGGTAGGAAGGTAGGTATGCTGGTAGCTAGTAAGGGAGGTGTGTATGTGTGTATGGGTAGCTAGCTAAGAAAGTAGGTAAGGGAAGGATAAGAAAAGGAAAATAGGTTGTGCATAATTAGCTGGAGAAGTAAGAGGGAAGAAGGGCAGGTAGGCGCTTATATTGGCAGGCAGATGGGAGGCTGACATCCACTTTGCACTGGGCGTGTGAGCTTCATCATTGGTTTCACAGTTAATTTTGACTTCTTGACAGCTAATGGCAATCCTTATTTCAGTCAAACCTGTCTATGACAGTCTCTCACACATGAAAATGAAATGAGATACATGATGTAAACAAATCCTTTAAAAGCAGTTGAGATGGATCGGTCATACGTTCCAAAAGCCAACAGCCAGTATCACAACGCAAGCCCTAAGATGGAATCGACAACCAAAAAGGAAGCAAGGCCAACCAAAAACCAAAGAACATCCCAATATTATAGAGGTGTGGCAGAGGACATGAGGAGGTTGTGGCATGTATGTGCAGAGGACAGCTGAAGAAACTGGTTCAGGATCGGGATTCGTGGAGAGCTCAACGGCCAATTTAATCTCCCAGACTGTACCACAGACCTAAGTAAGTAAGGAAGTACAGGTAAACTACGAACATCTATGCTCATAAAAAAAACTTTTTACAAAGAGGGTGGGGGTATAAAGCGGAGATGAAAGCGGTGCGACAGAACAGGAATAGAGAAAGGGACAGGAGAAGAAAAGAGAACATTTTAGAGATGAAAATTTTTCGTCACTATGGAATGAGAGGCGAAAACCGTAAATCAAGACCATGAGAGCTCTCCCCCCCCCCCCATTCCCACATATTGCTGTTTACTTTAAGTGGTTTTCCTCGATACAGTTTCAGAACTATAAACATAATAATAGGCCTACGTGGAATTGATAATTATAAATTAAATAACAGCTACTATACATTATAAAGACAATCTGAAAATAAGAAAATGTGAACTCCCACTGAATTAAGGATGGTTGGCAGCTTCCCAGTGTCTTATCACCCTGTCATGTGAAACAAAGTTACAAAGCCACACACTCACCACTCGCAGCACATGGGAAAAGTGGGTAAGAAAACTTGATTTAGTGGGGTCCTTGGCCTATTAATAAGTGTGTTGTGTGACAGTGGCAAAGTTCTAATAGACAACTGCAATGAGAGAGAAAAAAAAGAAAGTTCAGAAGGAGAAAAAGACAGTCAGCTGGGAGGAATGATGAAACAGCCTAAAATCCCTACCCTTATTCGCGTTAAATACGTCTGCTTGAATATTTGATTATTGTAAGGGAAGTTGGAATTATTATGCACCTAATCCTAATAATAAAATAGAGTACAAACAGCTGGGCAATTTGAATAATGAATAGGCCTAGAATCTAACACTGACAGTGTAATATCATTTAAATACGAAACTTTATTTAAAATATAAAATAACTCAAAATTTCTTTTGTTATATATATAGAGGAATTTTGGGAGGACTTCCGTAACAAGTGACCACCCCAGCAAACACAATATTTAGGAGACCTTACCCTAACCCTGATCCAAACCTTACCCCTACCCCAAACTCTGTTTCTTAGTGGCAGTGGTCGCTCCTTACGAAATTTCGAGTTAAAAAGCTTCATATATCCATATTATTACACAAAATCATCTGGAGTTTCAGTTGACAATCTTGATTCTCAGACAGTGAATAGTGATGGAAAATAAGTGAATGCTCACAACAATACCATTTGGTCATTATCTACCTCGACTAATCTACTTGTACATTATACGGTGCTGTTGGCCTTTACGTGTAGTGTAAATCAAGCAGAATCTAATGGCAGCGTCAATGATGGGGGGTGAGAGTAACAGTAGATGTACATCGAGTTTCTTTTTAGTAACGTTCATTAACAAATCAAGCTGGTAATAAAAGTCCTGCATTTTATCAATGTATGCCAATGCCTTCATGATTCTAGCTAAGACGTGTGTATTTTTCTTTGTTTGTTTTTCAGCCTTCCCACACCCAACTCCGAAAGCGCTTCCTCGTCAGAAAGCCCAAGGCTTTCGAAGGGGACCTCAAATACTTGTTCCGTAATCTGATCTTGCTGTTTCTATTTTTTAAAGTCATTGGTTTGATGGAAAAAGTCCTAATATTTATGATCCAACAGAATGAATTATAATTATTGTACATTGTACTTTAATTTAACATACTTTTTTCCCGTTGTTGTCGTTTTTTTTTAACTTTCGCTTTTGGAGAAATAGATCTATATTTGGGCAAAGATTTCCATCCAGCTAAAATTGTAGATTAGTGAGCTGTCCTGTGATACTTGTATTATTATTACGGACCGCACATTTCTATTTTGGCTTGAAAACGAAATTTCTAAAAAGAAAAATATAACGCACTTTTAGTGGCTTAAAAATTATTCGTAGCCTAATTAGTTTTGCTTCACAACTTAATTATTATTTCAACATTTGAATTGTAATTAAATACAATCGTACCAGCACAGTATCCACTCCAGCAACACATTACACCACAAGTGGTACTTCCGCTATAATCCGCAGAATTACTGTTTCCTACAATTTAAGGAGGTTATACACTAGCATAAGGTACTTGGCTTCCTACCACCCGGCCAATAATGAAGGCGGCAATTCGTCTGTTCATCTCTCACCACAGAATTCTACACTTAGTTCTCTCACTCACAACTCGCAGGTGACCGTGCCATTGGTGAGCAGAGATGAAAATGACTCGAGTCGCTACTATCTCAGTGGACTGCTACGTGCCACAATCTGCCGTTCTGCGGCGGTCACATGTAAATGGGTGCAATAAAGCGAATTAAACATTATTTTTCCTCAAACCCCCCTTTTTCCCTCTATATTTCTTTGTTCGAGTAGCGAAATAAC